ATCATTAACTGGTATGTGTCTAGGTGTGACTGCAAAGTTTAGTCCTTTAGCTAAAACGGATTTCAGGCCTTCAGAAATAGAACTGTTACTGCGATTAATTACGACTTTGTTAACATCTCGTCTCTAAAACCAAGCAAATCATTTCTGATTCAACCGCATTAATTGATCAGACCAAACAGTTCTCGTTGAAACCTTCTGCAGCCAGACCACCAAGATTATACGGCTTGCCAAAGATACATAAAGAAGATACACCTCTTCGTCACATTGTCTCTACTATCAACTCCCCCACCAAATAAACTGGCTCGTTTTTTGTCTGAAATCCTACGGCCTTTCACTGGAAAAACCACCTCTGCGGTACTAAACTCTACTGACCTGGTATCGACAATCAAGGGGATTGCCCTGTCCCCAGACGACCTGCTTGTCAGTTTTGATGTGGTTTCCTTATTCACCAAAGTTCCTGTACCTGACACCATTGAAGACTTGGTTCATCAAGGACTGAATGCTGGGGTACCCCCCCCCCCCCCTGGTGAGACACTGCTTAACCAATACATACTTCACCTGGAATGGAACTTTCTACAAGCAAACTGAGGGCACCCCAATGGGCTCCCCCCTATCTCCGGTTGTAGCCAACGTGTTCATGGAGAAATTTGAGACTGACGCCATCAAGACTGCCACTCTACGCCCGACCTTATGGAAGAGGTACGTAGATGACACTTTTGTCATCTGGCCACATGGCCGGCCTGCTCTAGACCAATTTCTCGACCACATCAATTCCATACACCCAGCCATCAGATTCACCATGGAAGTCGAAAAAGATGGCAAGCTACCCTTTTTGGATGTCCTAATTAAAAGGAGACCTGATGGTCCAATGAGCCATTCTGTCTACAATAAAGCCACCCATACGGATGCTTACCTAAAACCGGATTCCCACCACCATCCATCCCAGAAGCATTCCCTCATAAAGACTCTATACCATAGAGCCCAATGCATTTCCGACCAGGAACACATTGACAGTGAACTCAAACACGTACGCCAAGCTCTTAAGGCTAATGGTTACTCGGACTACACAATCCGCAAGGACATCACTCCAACCATCAAGAAGGATCCTGTTGAGGAGCCTTTCAAGACCATCACCTTACCCTACATTGCTGGAGTCAAAAAAAAGATCTCCAAAATCCTGATTAAACACAATATCCAAGTCCGATTCAACACAGTACATAAAATCCGTGATCTGGTCCCGTCTGTAAAAGATGTGGTTCCAGACATACAGTACCCTGGCGTCTACAAACTAAGTTGCCTCTGTGGTAGCAGTTACATTGGAGAAACCAAACGACATGTCTCGGACCGCATCCGTGAACATAAAGCAGACCTGAAACACGGTTGGACAAACACCTCAGCCGTGGCAGATCACTGCTACAATTCAGTGGGCTCACATGACATTGACTTCTCCAAGACAGAGGTTCTCTGCAAGCCATCTGGCTATCATGAGAGATTCGTTCATGAGGCGATCCACATATACAAACACGGAGACAATTTCAACCGAGAATATGGATTCTGGCTTAGCAATCATTGGAAGGACGTAATAAACCATTTCGGATCTTAACTGATTGTGCTCACGTTTACGGTGACTTTCAGACCGCGTTCCACTCACTGGCATTGTATTCTCCGCAGGGAATGGATTATTTGCTCCGCTGCAAGTTTCCCCTCACCACTCACCCATTAACACGACGGTCAATGGTACAGTGTATAGTGGCAGATAGTGTGGCATTTGTATGCTTGGTGCAGTGTGCAGAGTAATGTCAGTGTGATACACATTAGGGTGGGTAGAATAATACATAGTGTTATATTAAAATGTATAAGGCGGCAGCAGCAGCGGCAGCAGCAGCGGCAGCAGCAGCAGCAACTGCGGCCTGCATAATGCACATGCATATGTAGTACTAATCACATTCCTGCATTTCCCATAAATATGCTAAATTCCTCTTGATATGCAAATTCCTTTGTCAAGGCACCCAGCTTATATATATTGCTCCAAGCTCGTGTGCTGTTTCATTCAGACTCTGTCACCTCGACAGACCTGGTTTTCACCTGAGGACGGCTGCTTGCGTTGTGGCCGAAACGTCGTGAGAATTGTTTTATTGTGTTTTATTTTTATTATTTTATTACTTCCCTTCTACGTGACTTTACCGAAAGAACCAAGAAAATGCTAATAAACTTAATTATCCAGGAGAGACACGCCAAGTCGGCACTGTTTTTCCCACATTGGGGTTCTTTTTTTTTTTAGCAAACTAATAGTTGTATTTTGCCAGTTAAGGTCCACTGAGCTATTTAGATATTTTAAAGAAATGATCTGTCCATAAATGATTGCTCAACGTAGTGGCTTATCACGTGGATTTAAAAATTGTGCAAATACGCCAAATACTCTAAATGCTTGTTTTCTAAATGTGGAGGAGAAAAATCGGAGTACCCGGAGAAAAATCCACGTGAGCACGTGGAGAGACACGCAGACTCCAAATATACAGGAATCGGATCTAACCCACAACAACCTGTATACCAGGCAAGGTAGTTAAAATATCGCTACTGTGGCACCCATAATAGTTTGGCCAAGAAGGGATCAACGTAAACATATGCTCACCAAGTTGTGGTTAACAGCAACGGGAATGTGGTGGAGCGATTCCTGGGCTTTGAGCCAATTGAGAGCGACACTCGTAAAAGTTTAGCAGACCATGTGACTTTGATGGTGGAGAGCCTTGGGTTGGACCACTCAAACTGTAGAGGTCGGTCATATGACAATGCAAGTAACATGTCAGGAAAAATACAATGGGCTACAGGCCCACCTGAATAAAAAAAAAACCTGAGTATGTGCCTTGCGCAGCGCATTCACTTAACTTAGTTGGTGTTAACACCTTCGACGGCAGTAGCCCAGAGGATAACGAGTCTTTTTTAACATGGTGCAGTCAGACGGATGTCAGACTGACATTAAAATCGCTGTCCAGTGCTCGGGCAGAGTCAACTGAGGCACTGGAGAAACTACACCGACATTAGAGGCCTTTAGTGGTATTTGCAATGATGATAATGAGAAAAGAGATGCTCGAATTGGGGCCGCTGGACCCTGTGCTAAATTGGACACGTTAGAGATGTGTTCGTGGCACATTTCTGGGACGTCCTACTTAACCGGTTCCACGCTACAACCATGCACCTACAGAAAAGTGACATTGACATCTCTGTAGAAGCACCGCTTTGTCAACGAACTAATTCAAGTCTTTCATGTCTGACGGTTAGAAGTGCCCAACTAAATTGCTTGAGACGTTGCAGGCACTTAATCTGCAGTCAGTGTTCCTCAATGTTTTCGTGGCACTTCGGATTTTTCTAACTTTGCCAGTGACAAACTGCCAGGGTGAGCGAACATTTTCCCTTTTAAGCAGAATATTTAAAAATATGCTGCGGCGTAGCATGTGCCAAACACGTCTCGGCTCATTGTCACTTATGTCAATAGAGTCCGACCTTGTCAGACAGCTATTTTTTGACGATCTAGTAGGGAGAAGGCAATAAAGACACCAATATAGGAAAGCGGGGGGGGGGGGTGGGGGGCTCCAAAAGAAATGTGCCCAGGGGCCTCACGGGACCATGATCCAGCCCTGGTAGGAATAATGTACATTTTTGGATTTAACCATGTTTACTTTTCATTGATTGTTTAATATTCATTGTTTTGACTTAAAGCTTTCGTGACTGCAGGAATTCATATTCTATGGGTCTTTGGGTAAAGCCACGTAGATAGAAAAATGATTTTTTTTTAAATTAACCTGAAAACGATTGCTGTGTTGCGATCGAAACGTCGTGATATTTTTTTTTTATAATTTTTCTATCTACGTGGCTTTAGCGAAAGACCCATAGAATATTCATTTGTTTTACTAATTGCCTTCATGAATACATTTAAACTTTACGTGAAATGAGAGGATGTCCGAATTGAAATGGTGACTTCCCTGGTTCATCCGTTCGCTTCGGTGGCTCTCGAACTGTAATTTGCCTACCCACATTGATGTAGGTATTCATTTAAGTCTGAATGCACACAAACGTAATTAAAACACTTTGTCCTGTCGTTTTAGAAGAGCTGCTTAAAACTGCTCTGCACTCGAATAAGAATGTTTTCAACTCTGTACACAACCGAGTCGCTTAGATGTGGACGTCTACAACCGGTTGCTGCTCACTGTAAACGCATACTCGACCCTCAAGCGCCGATCTGCTGGACAAATTAGTCCCGTGTTTTCACTGCATGCTTCACGTTTTGCTAACTGATAGGCTGTTATAATTTTTGACGTTTGTGTGTGGGGGAAGGGTGGAGCTAAAATGCGGCCGGGCTCTGTAAAGGGGTGTAACGTAATGACTTCCGACACGGACTGTAGAGTGCTTTTTATTTATTTCTCGTCGGCATACAGCTACGACTTTAATCACAGTCACTGTTACTTACCCTTGACTGACTATTTAGCTAGCTGACTATACAGCGACAACAGCGATGTCTAACTATACAGCTGGTTGACTATATAGCGACGACGACGATGTTAACTACATAGTCCAATGGCTACCACCCAAAACCCCGTTCCACTCTCCCTTATATCCCCCGAGCGCGGCCATGCCCCGCCCCTGGCCATGCCTTTCTTAGAACTCTCTCATGGGTTCTCGGAGCTCCAGATAGATCCCCTCCTTTGACCCTTGGCCTAGTTTTCCCCCTCTAGTGGTCGCTCACATATAACTCGGCTGTGTGCTGTTTTCCCACCCATGATTAGCCCATACAGCCGCCAGTCGGTGCACTGACACTACAGGGTCATAACCAGACGTCGCTTAGCTACGCCCAGGCACTACTCCTCGCTCAGACATGGAAAAAGCAGCTGCAGGCGATTTTTATTTGCGCAATTGGACACTGATATGGATCCGTCTTCACAGATCAATGATAAATATGACAATGGGTATTGATAGGTCAGTAATGTCTTCTCGTTGCATTTCAGAGTTAAAGAGACTCTGGGTAACGCAGCAGCTTCTGCTGAAATGAAGATCGTGGTGAAGACCGTTCTGCTGCTGGCCTGCAACGACTCTCAGAGCTCATAATGCTACTGCTGTGACCAGAGTGCTCAAAGCCACCTGTTTGTTGCAAACAATACGGGGACTCCTACTTAGGAACATTTCTACTAATGAACTTGCATGTATATGAACAAACATCCGTATGTCCAGTAGCATGTTCGGACCGAGGGTCGTATGTTCAACTGCCTCGCAATAGATAGTGGTGGTGGCATCTACTGTATATCTGCAGAACATCAAGAACCAGCGGCATCTATAAGAGATAGACAATTTCTAAAACCATTCCCTCTGTTTCCTGTACATGCTGTAAGTGTTTGGAAGCGACAAAACGAAAGTTGGATTTACAAACAAATCGACTTAGGTTCCAGAGTTCTGTTCGTAAGTAGAAGTCCCTGTAATGTCGTTTCAAATAAAAGAACAGAATGGATTCCAGTTATGATTTGTCTGTCATTTACTGATACTATCGATTCTAACGTTTCTATAAATGATTTAGAGCAAAACGTAAAAATTTGGCCATGGTATCAGTGCTGCCACTGTCGGCTGTCATGTTACAATACCACATTGCGTGCACCAACTTAAAAAGTTAAAATTGTGGCCTTATTATTGTGTTATGAGCCTGTAACTACTGCGATCAGGTAAGGCAGGGGTCTCAAACTCGCGGCCCGCGGGCCAATTACGGCCCTCGGGATGATATTTTGTGGCCCCCACCTTAATATGAAAGTTGAATGTTAGTGCGGCCCGCGAGTTTTATATTGTAGCAACCCCGCTGTTAGCTGCTGTGTGGGACAATGTTATGATGTTCTGGTTTCCTACTGTGTGCCTGTGCAGTGAATGCGGCATGCATGTGAGTGACATGGGGGGCGGGGTCGTGTGTGTGTGTTTGTGTACGTGTGAGAGGTGAGTGAGAGAGAGAGCCGGGAGAGAAAAGAGTGGCTTTGGATGTGCGGAGAGCAGGAGGGTGAAATTCATAGTTTTCCGCCCTCTTTAGCGCAGGTCATGATGTATCCAGTGCTTCATTTGTAAATCACAAGGTGCCGGAACGCTAAGTACATATGACAGCGCAGGTACGATGAGCACAGTTCCCGGAAGGCACGTAAAACGACGCTTAAAACAGCACACACATGCCACTTACAATGCAGTGGGACTTATTTAGGCTATACTGCAGTGACGGTATCAGTCTTTGTGTCAGTGATTAATAAAGTGGCATCTTGAGCAAAGGCGACTTCTGTGTCCAGCGGAGAAAACGAACGGAACACACACACACACAATTTGTTAAATTGAAGGCAAATTCAAGGGACACCACGGCTCCTTTACGCACACGCTGCGCTGTGAGGTTTTGGGAGCTTCTTTACGCAGACGGATTATTCTAAACCGCAGCAGTTTATAAAACGTCATTGAGCTAATGTCTACATTTTACAGTCTGGGCTGTTTTACATTATTATTTACACCTGATATGTGTGGATGAATTTTAATGATTTAAATTCCCTCATCCTCTGGTGACATTTACGCACCGAGCCACAGACTGTACATGATGATGTGCATAATTATTTTGGTTCATCTTAGAAGTCTGCATTTGTTATTTTATGAAATTGTATTGCTGTTGTTAAGAAAGCTTTTTATATAACTTATTAGATTATCTTGTTATTGCGTGGCCACAAATTAGTAATTCATCCACCGATGCCAACAGGGGCTCCGTAATTTTCTAGTCATTACATTATATTGTTATATTTTATTTTAATCATTTCTTTAAAAACTTTTTTTAATATTCATATTTTTTTCGATACGAGAGGTCTGCTCAAATAAGTCGCGGAACGCAGGCAAGCCAACACGCCGGCACAAAGTAAGCACAAAAATGTATAGAAAAATGTGATGATGTGACAGAAGGCAGCGAAAGCCCCGACAGTGGCCAGCAGCATTTGAACCCCGTGATCACACAATGACGCTGCCTCATATAGTCCTCTCCTCTCCCTCTTTCGGCTCTCCACTGTGCGCGCACCGGAGCGCGTCAAAGCGCAGATCCACAGCTCGTGCTTTGAACAGAGAAGCGTGTATAGTAGCAGCCGCTACAGCTGTGTCTGCCTGTGACTGGGGTGTGGGGACGAAATCTGATGGGAACGCATTACACCTCACCCCCCCCCCATAATCTATGCACCTGTTGTTACCGGAAAAAGCGGAAATGACGTGCATTTGCGGAAATTACGTCTCCGTGCGTGAGGGACAGCAAGTGGAATGAATATATATCTTGTCACACAGCCCCAATCATGTATTTTTCAAAGCCTGCAGTGAAGAGAAAGGTTGGTGACGAGCACAGACAATTTCAGGAAAAGTGGGAGATGCAATATTTCTTTGTTGAGCACATGAGCACCCCGACGTGTCTTATTTGTACAGAAAAAGTTGCGGTGCACAAGGAATACAACCTCAAACGCCATTACTCAACTATACATGCTGAGGCGTATGCAAAATACCAGGGAGATGAGAGAGCCAACCAGGTTGCCAATCTTAAGACATGTCTACTGAGGCAACAAAATGTCTTCAAGAAAGCAACCAAAGAGAATAATGCAGCAGTCGAAGTAAGCTACGTGGTTAGTGAGATGATTGCTAAGGCAGGAAAACCATTCACAGAAGGCGAGTTTATCAAAAAGTGCATCTTACAGGCTGCAAGTATAGTCTGTCCGGAAAAGAAAGGTCAGTTTAGCAACATCAGCCTTTCTGCTAACACCGTGGCAGAGCGCATTTCTCACCTGTCAAGTGACATTTATGATCAACTGCGTGAGAAAGCCAAATTTTTCAATGCATACTCAGTCGCTCTTGACGAGAGTTCAGACATCACTGACACTGCCCAGCTCACAATATATGTCCGTGGTGTTGATGACAATTTTGAAGTGATGGAGGAGTTGCTCACAGTAATTCCAATGCATGGCCACACCACCGCTCAGGAGATATTTTGGCAGCTGTGTGATGCCATTGTGAATGCCGGTTTGCCATGGAAGAAGTTTGTTGGAATAACAACCGACGGAGCGCCATCAATGACAGGGAGGAAAAATGGACTGGTGGCACTTGTTCAAAGAAAACTAGAAGAGGAGGGTGTGGAGGAGGCCATTGCTCTGCACTGCATCATCCATCAGCAGGCCCTTTGCAGCAAATGCCTGAAGTTTGACAACGTGATGTCTGTTGTTGTGAAATGCATAAACCAAATCAGATCCAGGAGCTTAAAGTACCGGATGTTCCGTACTTTTTTAGAGGAAATGGAATCAGAATATGAGGATGTGCTCTACTTCACCGAGGTACGTTGGCTCAGCAGGGGAAACGTCTTGAAGATATTTTTTGAGTTGAGAGCAGAAGTGAAAGCCTTCATGGAGAAGGATGGGGTGGCTGTTCCTGTGCTAAGTGATCCCAAATGGCTCATGGACTTAGCTTTTCTTGTTGACATCACGCATGAGCTGAATGTACTGAACAAGAAGTTACAAGGCCAGGGGCAGCTCGTCAGTGCTGCCTATGACAACGTGAGAGCATTCTCCACAAAACTTGTGTAATGGAAAGCCCAGCTCTCTCAGACAAACCTTTGCCATTTCCCAGCATGCAAGGCACTCCTGAATGCAGGCACACCATTCAGTGGTGAGAAGTATGTTGATGCCATTTTGAGGCTACAGGAGGAATTTTATCACAGATTTGCAGACTTCAAGACGCACAGAGCCACTTTTCTAATTTTTGCGGATCCCTTCTCCTTTGATGTGCAAGAAGTCCCTCCTGTGCTTCAAATGGAGCTCATTGACCTGCAGTGCAACTCTGACCTCAAAGCCAAGTTCAGGGAGGTGAGTGGAAAAGAAGACAAGCTTGGGCAATTTTTGCGAAAATTGAACCCCAGCTTCCCCGAGCTTTCCCGAATGTTCAAGCGGACCATGTGCCTTTTTGGGAGCACATATTTGTGTGAAAAGCTCTTCTCCACCTTGAACTTCAATAAGTCCAAGTACAGGTCCAGACTTACTGATGATCATCTTCAAGCCATACTGAGGGTCTCAACTGCTTCCTCCCTCAAGCCAAATGTGGCTCAGCTATGTGAGAGGAAGCGCTGCCAGGTCTCTGGCAGCAAGAAGTAGGCAAGAGAAGCCATGTTCAGAAGAACCGTTCATACTAATAGGGTTTTCTCCCTTTTTCTGGCAACAAAACTGACACCTTTTTGCAAGGAATCATGCTTACATTAACCACAATACTTGCAGTCAAATGCAAACAAAAAACAATACTCTGATGACGCCGTCATCTGGTCGAATACCATATGAGACTAGGCTCTAAAGAAAGCTGTCTCTGGTGTGGAACAATCAGTTTCAAGGATAATGCATAAATTATCAGAGTATTGTTTTTTGTTTGCATTTGACTGCAAGTATTGTGGTTAATGTAAGCATGATTCCTTGCAAAAAGGTGTCAATTTTGTTGCCAGAAAAAGGGGAAAAACCCTATTAGTATATTTTGGTACTGGCAAAGGAGGTTCCATGAAGAACCGTTCATGTTCTTCAATATTCTATTCATGTTCAGAAGAACCCATTGAAGTTAAATAACTGTTAGTAATGACATTTGAGAAGTTTGGATTTTTTTAGCAAAGTTTTTTTTGAGGAATACCTGATGCGGCCCAGCCTCACCCAGATACTGCCTCCAGCGGCCCCAGGTAATTTGAGTTTGAGACCCCTGAGGTAAGGGCTTCGCCACGTACATTTTGTGAGGCACATCCATCTGTGGGTGACAATGGCCGCATTATCAACAGTGACACTTTTTTTTCAAAAGCGCTTGCCGTTTTAAAATACGGCCACGATTTGTTTTTACCCGTATTTAGATGGTGATCTCAATTCTAAATTAAGCGCGTGAACGTTACGCACATTGCCACACAGTATGGTGGAGATCACGCGCGACGATTCTTCACCGGAGGGTGCCTTTTTGGAGTTTGTTTTTAGGTGGACTTCCTCCGTCTTTTACGGTTGCTTCCTGAAGCTAACCAAAAAATATAACTGGTTTAACACTTTGAAGTACGCTTTCAACACCAATATTATGCATGAAGGTGTTCGTTGAGGTGAGATCGCGCAAGTGTCGTTAAAACCGCCGCCACCTGTCAATTAGCAAGGTTTGTCACATAAATAGAACGCGCCAGTTCGTCACGAAAGCTTTAAATCGAAATCTTACTGTTTTATTTATAAAAATGGTAACGACCATTTCTATTTTTTTATAGTTTGATACTGCCAAAAAGGTCCCATTTTAGTAGATCATCGATTATGTACAGTACTGTAAATAATCGATTACATAAAGTTGATCATTTATTATTCGGCAGCTTGGGGGAAGGGGGCGCCGGATTTTCAAAAATGCCAGATAATCACTCCATTATCATTATTTAAAATAGCTTGTTTTTGCACATTCCTGCATTATATAATGTTTTAGGTGTTGTGCTTTATATTCGTTTACTATGTGAAATTGGCAACAATAAACATACAAATA